AAGACCGAATAAGTGTAATGGTTTGCTGCTCGTGCATTGGAGAAAAAAGACCTTTACTATTCATAGGACCTTCTGAAAAACCCAAGTGGTTTAATGATAACAAATTTGGAAAATATAAAATACAGTACGCGAGTCAAAAGAATTCTTGGATGACAGTATATTTGTTTCAAAAGTGGATCATCGAGTGGGAAAATGAGCTACGTTTTTTTCAATAAAGATAAAATACTATTAATACTTGATAACGCACCTTCTCATAAATTGGTCATGATGTCGGAAAATGTTTTAGAAATTGAGCCAATGGGTTACGAATACATTGGATTTGACGATAAAGTTAAAAAATATATCTACAAAGTAAAACTGGAAAAAATTGTTGTGGAATTTTTGCCTCCTAATACTACGTCTGTATTACAACCATGTGATTCTGGTATAATAGAATGCTTTAAAAAATTATACAGAAAAGAACTGCTGACAAGAGTTTACAACAATTTTGAACACTCAAAATTGTTGAAAATCAATTTTGTATTTCCAAAAATTACAATCGGTGAAGCCATTGAAATTGGCTCAACAAAATGGATACAGGAAGTTAGTAGTGTCAGCATTTCAAATTGTTGGAAACACACTAAATTGTTCAAAAAAGATAACGAAATGGAAGTCGATGTGGTTGGAAAGAATTTGATATCTGATGAATATACTACAACTGATTTAAGTTGAGAAAATGATCCACCAGTACTTGATGATAATGACCATTTCGAAAAAACTGAAGAAACGTTCACCCAGTATAATAAAATTGAACACGCTCAAAGGTTAAGAAGTAAACTAGAAACTGAAATGAAACATTTGCAAATATTGGAAAAAAATACTTTTGCACTCAAAACCAAAATTGGTGCTGATAAGGACGAATTGGACCGTTTGATACGTTCTGATAAAATGTTAGAACTTCTTTATTTATCCGAATAATTAATTTTTAAAATTATTTGATTTTTATGTTATAATACCAGTAAATTGATTTTGCCGTGTTTTTTATATTAAAGCTGTTTTTATTAAATAATCGGGTTTTGTATTTTATTGCCAAGAAGACCAAAGTCTAAAATTAGATAATATAAGCAGTCAACTACATAATAAGTCTTCTTGACAATAAGTCTACTAGACAATAATGACTGTATTGGTTTGTTGGGGATTAGGTACGTCGGCGAGTTAAGCTGTTGTTTATTCATACTTTATACAACACATTCATTTTTTTTATCCCGAAAAATAACCGTTTTCAAGACCAAATAATAAGATAATTCCTTCCAAATATCTTTAATATTATAATAGTTATTATTATTATAACAATCAATTGTATACGAGTTTAGATTCATTATAAAAATGAAGAGAATTTGAGGAAGTCACTCGTGAATGAATTTCTGTCAAAGGATTGAAAAAGAAAGGAGTCAATGTGATAAATATTCGCAGTCAAAAATAACATATTTTTTGTTTAATAAAAATAATACATTTTGAAGGAAAATTGCAGTTCAAAAAGACAGCGACTGTAAATTTATGGTTGAAACATCAGAGCGTCTCTATTGAAAATTCAATTCACAACACAAAACGACGAGGAAAAATTTGAGTTGAATGTTGAACCTTTTATAACAGCGAGTATCAAGAAAGGTCGTGTGAAGAGTTTACAGTGACTGTTCATCCGCTGTGTACACTTGAGAAGACTATTGACATTAGTTGTTCAGTCTTTAACATTAACGAAGGCAAATTTTCAGAGATTAAAATTCCAGTCAAATTAGCGTCAGAAATGTCGACAACACTTGACCCAGACGAGTTGAAGAAAGAACAAAAATTTGGAGAATGAAGTTTTGGGATTGTGTACAAATGGACATATCGAGGGAATGTTGTTGCCATCAAGAGATGAAGGAAATGGTTGTCGCCAAATTAAAAGCAAAAGGTAATGAAGAATAAAACCGTTGAAGGTTCAAATCGAATTAACTGTTTCTAGCAATTAGGTAATAATATAATAATGTATTAAATATTAAATACTTATTAATTGATTTTATTGATAAACATTTTTAATAATATTTAATAATGATTAATAATTACTATTAATGTATAACAATTTTTTTATTTTTTTACAATTACATCACAACTCGTTCGAAAGTATTTTATAAGTTGGTTTGAGAAAAATTGTTTTGGTTTTTCTTTTTTGAAACTTTTAACGTCTCTATTGTTTTTCCTTTTTGTTTAAGGGATTCATGAGGATTGTTAATTTTTCTGAGGATGGTAAATATCTTAAACATAATTTCTTTCAATTTGGATTTTTTTGCCTAAGATCAAAAAGGTATATTTTGAAACACTTGATTTTCTTGAAAAATGCTATTTTTGGATTTTTTGAAAGATAATTCTTTCAGTTGATTTTTACAAAAAAATAATCTACTTCTATTTTTTGATTTACCACAAGACTAACTTTGGTTTATATGAAAACATTTAACAAACATTTGAATTATCGAAAAAGTCGATTTTTTTTATCAAAATCACAAAACAAATTAATCAAACAATTTTTAATCTTTTTTACAAAAATAATTAATTATAAATCAATTCATGATATTTCAAACAATAAAAATTGATAACAAATAACGTATTAATAACGTATACTCTATGCGATAACAATTTATGTATTTGCGCAAATTCAAAAAGAGAGGTTTTGGATATCGATAAAACAACGATTGATAAATAAACAAATTTTTAAAATAAAATCATTTTTGTTTTAAACGG